AAAACCCGCCCGTTCCCCATCTCCCCGCTGCGCACCCCCTCCCTCGGCACCCAGGGCCTGCACACCCCCCTCGCGTGGGGCTGCCCCCACCCCTCCCCGGGCGGGCAACCAGCGGGGGAGGCTGCAGGAGACCCCCAGGTGTCGCCTGTGCCGGCCCCTTCCCCCGGCCGGTGGCTTCGCTTCCTTCGGCCACCGCGGCCGATACCAGCCCCCCGCACCCCCACGGGGCTCAGCCCCAGCTGAGCGCCGGCTTTGACCCTCCGGTAACACTGATCCCGGCCGCCGGGGACCCGACCCCGCTTCCCCCTCCTGGGAGCTTCCCCCTCACTCTGAGCTCAGGTGGGGGCTCCCCGTCCAGCCAAGTCAAACCTGCCTCAATGTTCATACTGGAATTTGTCCAGCTTTTTAAAGTATTTCAGCACCTTACATGCTAGTCAAGGTAAAAAACCAAACAAACAAACAAAAAAACAACCAAAAACAACTTTACTTTGGTTGAAAAATCTTTATTCACATAACACATCACATGAATCACATCATGTCCCACCATTGCCCCCCCATGTATAAAATACTGATAAAAAGTTTTTTTCCAGAGGCAAGTTAAATTCCGTGGTGTTCTCTCATGAGAGTGCAGCTCATCTGGCAGCCGGACGCTTGCTGTGCCGCAGAGAGCAGAACAGCTCTGCTGAAGGAAATGTAATTCCTCCCAGGAAAGGAAACTTCCCAGAGAGCTGCAGCAGCAACACGTGTAAAGCCACCAGCTTCTCCGCTCTGTCTCATCTCCCGTCAGTGGGGATCCTGATCCTGCGCGTGCTCGCACTGTGGCACACTGCAACCACAGAGGCGTCGGGGTGACATCCACCGTCTGAGATCCCACAGGTGCTCTTGGAAATCACTTTGGACTTTAACATGCAGTACAAATGTGTTTGAAGTTGCACATCATCAAATCCAATTACCCATGAGGCTCCTTCAAAGCCCCACATCTCACCTTTAGACACAACAAACAGCAAGGACACTTTGCTTACAAAAGGGAAATTAGCCACACAGGAACAAGGGAAAAATAAATGAACAAACATGTATTAAAATGCCAAGCAAGTCTCAAAAACAGAACAAAATCCAGTTTCGATTATTTTATGGCTCCTACCACAAGCCAAATAAAGAAACAAATTGGCTAGAGTCCCACCTTGGTGTAAGACAAATCCTGCTACAATGGGTCACAACTACACAAACTTTAAACACCGTCACATGACATCCTTTAAACACTGAACCATACAGTTGTAAAATCAAGGTGGAATTGGACCAGTTTATCAGAACAGAAAAAAAATTGCTAGGGATTGTAGGATCCCAGAACTGTTTGGCTTGGAAGAGACCTTAAAGCCCATCCAGTCCCACCCCCTGCCCCGGGCAGGGACACCTTCCACCAGCCCAGGTTGCCCAAAGCCCCGTCCAACCTGGCCTTGAACCCTGCCAGGGAGGGGGCAGCCACAGCTTCTCTGGGCAGCCTGTGCCAGGGCCTCACCACCTCACAGGGGAGAATTTCTGCCTTACATCTCATCTAAATCTCCCCTCTGTCAGTTTAAAACTGTTACCCCTTGTCCTACCCCCTACCTCCCTGATCAAGAGTCCCTCCCCCCTTTCCTGCAGCCCCTTTCAGCCCTGGGAGGCCGCTCTAAGGTCTCCCCGGAGCCTTCTCTTCTCCAGCTGAACCCCCCAACTCTCAGCCTGTCCTCACAGGGGGTGCTCCAGCCCCCCAGCATCTTTGTGGCCTCCTCTGGCCCTGCTGGAGCAGGTCTGTGTCCTTCTGCTGTTGGTGCCCCCAGAGCTGGACCCAGCCCTGCAGGGGGGTCTCACAGAGCAGAGCAGAGGGGAGAATCCCCCCCTGGCGCTGCTGCCCACCCTGCTCTGGGGGCAGCCCAGCACACCCTTGGCTTTCCAGGCTGGGAGCACACATTGGTGACTCACAGTTTTCCACTCACCAACACCCCCAAGTCCTTCTCCTTGGGGCTGCTCTCATTCCACTCCTCACCCAGCTTGAATATGTGTTTGGGATTGCCCCGACCCATGGGCAGGACCTTGCCCTTGGCCTTGTTGAACTTCATGATGTTTGCACAGACCCACCTCTGCAGCCTGTCCAGGTCCTTGTGGATCCCTTACGCGGTGCCCAACTGATCTCACAGAATATGATCCTGCCAGTGCATACTATGCTAAATCTATCAGGTTGCCTATTTAAAATAAATTTACGGTAAATTTAGATCTAAAATTTCAATTAAAGATACAGCAAGACAGACGGTCCATCACTGCAGATTTCCTCTTTTCCTTTTAATTCTCTAGTCCCTCAGGCTCCAATGAAAACCAATTCTATACTAGGTCTGCTAATGTGTTCCCTTGGGAAAGCCTATCAGAGCAAGGAACAAGAGCACAAAACACTTCCAAAGCATCAAACACACTGAAAAGCACAAAATGGACAGCCAGAAGGCATCGGCACACAGGACTGTGCTGATGGCACAATCACTGGAGCTTTCCTGCTCTCTTCTGCTGAACCATCCGATAGGAACATCCAGGCACTGACAGATCTCATCCTGACTGACTCTTCTCTTGCCCTGGGTTCCAAGCAGGAAGCTGCCTGGCCTGTGATAGCTGATGAAATTGGGTACTCTCATCTGGGCTTCAAAGCTCTGCCACAACACACAGGTCAGTCAATACTTTAGTTATGCAACTGTAAACAAGCCCAGCCAAAGCCTGTTTTGCTTGCCCATATTAACTGAAATCTATTTTTTACAGTTATTAATACCACTTCTCCAAGTTTGCAACAGTCTACATAATAAAAGCAAAGCTTATTGCAGCAAAGATAGAATGCAGAACTTTTAATCTTACTAATTAAGAGACCCATAACCATTCCAGACAGAAAAAAAATGAAGGAATTGCCAGCATTATGGCACATCATCTGACTATGACACTTCCGTGCCACTGTCAGACATCTGGAAATGCTCCAGGCTTGTACACAAATAGGGATGGGAATGTATGCAAAGGCTGATTGAAACGGATGATGCCCAAAATCTCAGGACAGCCATTCTAAGAGAGCCCCCTCAGCCTGCAGGGAAAAGAGTGACATATTAAACAACGAGGCATTTCATAACTGTGAATGTTTAAATGTGGATAGATCCCTACAACCAGGGAGATGGGTCTAAGCTGGCTGTCATCTCTGTGAGATGATCTGTATGAGGTCTTTCACAGTAATTCTGCAGGTACAACAGGTAACACAAAGAACACCCTTCCAAGGATGAGGGATGTTTACCATCCTAAGGCACGTAACTTCAGGAAACTATTCTGACAACTGATTTTAAGTAAAAGGTCTGCTGCCCTGATCCCACTGTTATTCTGAACACAAAGAACAGCAGGGAGAGCCCATTCCAGCTCTATGGACATAAAAACTACAAATCTGAATCTGAGCACAGCAAGGACTTGCCTGCTTCACCGATTCAAAAAATACCCACTTCTGAGCACAAAACCTCAACCAACCACCTCACAAAAGGAAGGAAACACACCAAAATGTGATGTGCACTAGCATTAAAAACATGTCAGAGTCTTACAGTTTTCAGTGGCTGGATTTCATACTAGGCACAGTGAGATGACACAGGCTTCATGTGCTGCTGACTGAAACAGGCAGGAGTACAGCATTCAGCTTCCCCTGGGAAGCAGCGGGGCATAAAAAGGTACCAAAACATACCTCAGATAAAATGGGAAGCATTTCAGCCTGAAACGGAAAGATTTGTGCTGGTTAATACTGTATGTGTAAGCAAAAAAGTCAGCTGAGTTATAACCGCGCTTTAAGACCCTTCCCCACAAATCCTTCTGGCAAAATATGAGTTTGCAGATGGGAACCCCTTGTTTTTTGCACACTTAGTCCACAGGAGCGGGCCCACAATGTGAAATTCTCCTCAGTGCCATTCTTCCATTGCAAAACGCAGTGACCAGGGTGACTTGTAGCTAGCACAGGAGAGGCTCGCTACATCTTATGCTCTGCCTTTGCATCCTCCTATCTCTATCTGCCCAGAAGGGCACTCCTACCTTGCAGTACAGCTGGGCAAAATCTTCACTTCTCCTTCCTATTTAACCAGATTCTTAAACCTGCAGACAGTAAGGTGAGAGCAGTAAAGGCTAGGGTTATTTTTATAGGGCCATTCTCATCTACAGCGTCCCCAGAGAAATTTGTTTCCCTACGCGCTATCCACGTAACATGTCCGAGTGTGATTTGTAAACTCTGAAGTTCACAGAAGGGGCTCATCCAAAGCAGCACTTGGAGGAAAGTACAGTCTGGAGGACAGTCCATCTTGCTCCAAAAGAAAATCTCCTCCGACAATAATTCAGTAGCTCATGTCAGATACTGCACGACGAGAAACATAATTACACAAGTCAAAATCATTCCCCCAATCATGAAGTATTTATCTTGGAAGGCTCGCTTCTCAATCAGCCGCATCACTGTATTGGATAAGCCCAACATGTTGGCAACATCCAGGATCTTCTTGTGAGTACCCTAAGAATAAAAAGACAGGAAACAAACAATTAATCTCATGGTCCAACACTTCTTATTCCACAGTCCAAGAATATTTCATCATGAGTGGCAAGTGGTGGAAATCTGATAATGGAACTTACAATCAGCCAACAGTTTGTACAGTTTTAAGAGGAGATGGCCATGGGACCCTGGAAACAGCTTGATGATGAGACTAATTAATTCACACACATGAACAGGAATGTGGTTAGAGATACAAAACTGTCTGGACACAGACACTGTAAAGAGTGGCTCGGAGACAAAGCACTCCCTACAGAGACATTAAGAGTTTTTCTGGTCCTTTTTCAGAGACACAGTCTAGTAAAAGCTTGGCGATTCTTCAGACAACCTGTACTGTGAAACTTCCCTCCTACCAACAAGAGATGGAAAAGGAGGTCCAGAAACTTGTAAGGCTAATGGTAGAGCGCAATGCAAAGGCATATAAAAGTGTAATTAATGCAATTTCAAGAAATCCTTCTGGAGAAAAGCACTGAACAAAGACTGCTAGCAGGTGTACTGCAGACAGGTCCACGCCTCAGTTCTGCTTCACTGCTGCAGCAGTTGGTATTAAGGACGTGGATCCTACCAGTTACCACGTCAGCAGTAAGCACACGGGGAGATGAACAGTGAGCTGCAGGACTGGGGGTAATGGGAAACGAGCTGGGGGAGTCACTACTGCAGTGCACCAGGAATACTCCTACTTCATTTCAGAGCAACAGTCAAATGAAACTGTATGAAATACAGGCACAGGGCTGTACTCCGGGCACAGCTCAGAGCTGGGTATTGTCCTGTCTGGGAAGGTGGGAGGGAGGGAACAAACTCACAGCTACAGAGTCACTGTGGTACAGGTAGGTGAGACAGACCTTTCCAGACAAACTGACCACCACAGCTCAGCTCCTAGCACACAGGCAGAGACACTGCCCAGCACCAGCCTCCACCACACCCACATGTGCAAAGACGAGCACTGCTAGGAAACAGCCCTGTCACCCCACAGGAGCCATAACGGAGCTCGTCCCTCAAACTGACTTGTGGGTCCAAGACCTTAACAGAACACCCAGCTTCAGAAAGCTGTAAGACTTATTTCTTCTCTGAGCAAGGTCAATAGCACAGATTCCCATCACAGTGCTCTACCACCATGCTTTAATTTTAAAATAAAAACTCTAGCTTCTGTTCTCATAGTCCACTGTACCTTTGGTCTCAGAAGAATAAAAAGGGCAAATCTGGGAACTGTTTTGAATACAAACCTGACAAGATCAGAAAAGCTCTCTGAGGACAGAATTTCTATCAACTATGTTAGACATACAGGCACAAACAGTTTCCCAATCCATAAAATATGCAGATTTGCAATATCAAATTAGATAAACAGTTTCTTCTGTAGAAGGCTGTGTAGGTGTTCAGGCCCTTTGCTGAAATCACATTATGTCTCTGCTAGTAAAACATAATCACATTTTTCACCTTCATTTCATATACCTCACATGAAACCCCTGGAAACTACTTTCAAGTTCAGCACTTTTCCTGTCTCTGTAGCAATCTTTTCACACTACTTCAGAACAAAGGAAAACCCTGGAGAAGAGGAACCAAATACGAAGCTTTAAAATGAAAGCAAACAATAGGAAAGTGAAGACTCTTCAATTCTTGCAGCCAGAACAGTGGAATTGTACAATTAGAACAGTTAAAGCCCTGCAACAAGGTGGTAATACTTTGTTCATACCTGTCTACCAATATGCAACACCCAAGAAGTTACAGAGACTAACATGCTTCCAAAGTAAGCCATTTATCCTTCTCTGCTGTCACTGTGCTAGCTGCTTCTGCCAGATTTGTAAGTGTGCAACAAAGCGACAGTGTAAACAAAGCTAAGGAGAAAAGGAATATGAAAAGCTGTTTCCTCAACTGTGAGACAAAGTATCCCCCTGAAAACATAAGAACGTGATGCTCCCAAAAGAACAGACTACAGGCAGCAGTGGGCAGAAACATGCTAACAACTTTGACAGTTCTGACCCGCAGTATACTGCCTTGCTACAAGTTGGCAGCTGTTGTAAGGGGTGCCTAGAGCGCAGAAGGCCCACCATGATCTAACAGCAATGCAGACACCTTACTGCAACCTAACTAGCAAAAGGAACAAGACAGGACTGTAGACTACACGAAACAGTATTCCCTCTCAGAGTCTCTGAGGCAGCAAGTTCTGCATCTATTTCTCTATTGTGTTTGCCCAATGTGGTTAAGTTCTCCTGACCTGTGATGTATGCACTTCTTCTCAGGAACCCTCCTGAATCAGTGACTTACCAGCCTCTACAATCAACAACCCAAACTCCCCACGTGAAGCACAGGTACACTCGTACACTTTAAAGACTGGATGCCCCAAGCCACCAAAGCCATCCAGAGCTAAACACAGAGGACAAATGTCCTCTGCTGTTACACCCTGCAGTGGTCCTGGGCAGCACTTTGGGAACGCCAGGTCACCTGGACCCCTGGATCAGGACAGGAGGTACCTGGCTTGTGAAGAGCAATGGACATTAGATTAAAATAAGCACCTAGCAGCTCTGCCCTGTGAAGACACCCAGCTCTGGGAACACCTAAGAAATGGTACCACTGGTCCTAGAAGTTGCTCCAACAAAATGCCTATGCCCTTCAAGGGTGAGATCCACATGTGTGTGCAGTTCAGCTGTATGTGTGCCAGCTGGCAGACTGCCTTCACAGCCAGCGAAACCCTGGCCTGCCATCCCTGGAGCTTAAGGTGTGACTCATCTGACCAAAAGTAGAGATTTCTGTTAACAGTTAAAAATGCCTAAATCCTCTGCCAGATACGTCCTAGAAGAAATGCATTAGCACAAAATAGACAACATTATCCCCATCAGAAGATGAATACAACAGACATAGGGAATTCACCACATTTTTCACACACTTCTTATTAAAAAACTTTTTGTATCTTTGAGCTATTCACTCAAAATTTAACATCACTTTGAACAGTCTTTAGAATAAAAGACAAGTTATTAAGAGACATGAAGAGATACAGCTGTCATTAACAGAATTCAGGGAAGGATATAGTGTAAGGTCCATTAGACCTGAGAGAGTATTATCTTAAATACTTTATGCCAGCTTCACAGTTGCTCTGAGTGATGCTCATCTGAATTAACACCTGTGAGCTAGCCATTACTTCCCATTCTTCACTTGAATTAAAAAAAAAAAAAAATACAACCAACCAAACAATAAAACCCATAAGGGAACAAAACATAACATTCAGCACTCCAAATACTAACCACTGTGCAGGTGAAGACTGTTAGCCACACAGCCACAAAAAGAACTTTAAAGATGTTCCTAGTGAGATGATAAATTGTAAAGATTTCAGGTTCAGTTAAAATGGAGTTTGGGCCTTTCCCAGCGTTCTCAGCTTGAAGCAGTGTACTGAAACAAACATGTTTTTATTTTACATAGCCTGGTCATCATAAACACAATGAAATGTGGGGTCTTTTTGGTAAAAAATGATGCCCCCACCTTTAATGTCACTCTCTGGTCCCTCAGCCCCTGAAGGATGTTGGTCCCACTGCCAATAAGATCATCCATGCCACGATGGGCATTCTGGAGGGATTCATTAAACTGTAATGTTTCGTCGATCGGTATGGTGGTGTCAGAGTCCTGTGGGGGAAATGCAGGGTCTTGGTTACCGTGCCTGCTCACTCACACTGCCCAGACAGAGTTAGATCCAGAAAAAGAACAGACAGAAACAAATATGGCAAAAACTTGACAGGACTTGAAGGATTATGTTTTAACCATTTTCTCATAAGGATATTACATACAACATTAATATTTATGTGAAAAAAGTAATTTAGAGAAGCCTATGGGAAACAAGCCAAAAGGCAAAGTTGATCAGCTATTCAACTGCAACTGGATCTTGAAAGATTTTTATCAGATTAAAAATGGAGAATTTTTTATAATCTCAGTTTATGATGCATGTAGGAAAGGGAATTTCAAGAGAGAACATCAAAGCTAACAGAAGGTGTTTAACAAGGAGTCATTTGATCATTGCAAGTGAAAGACTTTTGAAAGATTGAGCATCACATTTCTCAGTGACAGAAGGCCTGCAAAACACAATGTCTGGGAGATGACATTCCATAAATGTACAACATGGTGCAAATTTCTGATAGTGAGGGCAAACAGACACAAGTCTAGTTCTCTGAAGGTCTGACTCAACACCCAAGGCTTTATCTAAAAAAAAAAAAACCAAACATTTTCCGAGAAAAATGCATTAGCTCAACTAGAAACAATAAATCTTGAAATGGAAATAACTGGGTAAAATTCTGTAATCTGGATTGCACAAGAGGTCAGAGGTTGTGATCATTTTTGTCTTTCAAAGGCCTCCAGTTTAATTTTCTCTACACAGCATTTCATCCAGAGTGTGAAGATAATAGCTCATCACTCCCACACTGTTTTACGGACAAGACTCATGATATTGGTAAGAGGTTAAGTGTGGAAACATGCTTCCATGTTCTTAGAACAAGAACTGCCAAAATGTAGAATTCATATTTGGGGCAGAAGATGGTTAATACCCTACATCTGACTGTCAGCTGTAGGTTACATGAAAGCAACAATACCAAACTTGCTCTGAGTAGACTCTGGTGATCATTGTAAAAAAAAATGTTGACATGGGAATGACATGTACAGTGTTAGATGCTGTATTGCCTACACGGGTGTTCTGCTTACAGTAAAAGAATGAAGAGTAAAGGACAGAGCTGTTAGTTGTTGCAGGGTCAAAGCTACTGGGTGAAGAAGCCCTGACTGCATACATATCTCTTTGATCAAATGTCAGTGAAACACTAAGGCTGAAACAAAGGTCTTCTCTGCAGAGCAGAAGCACTTAGATTTGCACCTCAATAGTTATTCTTTCAGATATTTACTAAACTTCAAATCAGCAGGGATTTCACTGCCTATACAAGGAGCTTTTTTATACACTACAAGGCAGAAAGAAAAATATCTAAGCAGATTTTTGACCCTCCTCACAGAGAGACTAGATGGCATCATAGCTTTCACCTGCTGTTAGTGGTTTTCTCCAGAATGGTACAAGGGAAGGCTTTAAAAATAAAGATCATATTTACCTTTGAACTAAGCAAAATATTCAGAACAGTGCTACAGCTTTCAAAAGCCATTATGTATGGCGCAGTGATTTAAACAGGATGCTCACACACTCAGCTGATGTTTCTATTTAATAAAGTAGGGTAGTATATAAATAGAAACTGTGTAAACTTCTAACCAAAAAGATAGGCCAGTAACTGACAAATAATCATCATTTTTCCCATGAAAGGGTCATTGTACTTTAAAAGTCACATTTTTGTAATGAGTTAAAAGAAATATAAAATAATCATGCACTACTTTTTTTTCCATCTTAAAACCCCTTTCAACATCTAAAAGAGAAAAAAATTGACATTTATTTTGCATTTGCTAGCCTGCTACTGCTCTTCAGAACTGTTCCACACACATAAGAGTTTTACTTCTGGACAAATTTTCCTACAGGAAAATGCCCCCATATTTGCAGACGAACACCACAGTGTTTTGAAAACAAATCAGGTTTCAAATTTCAGTGTTCCTTTCAAGTCTTGTTTATAATTTTGAAATAGTGAACAAAATGCTAAATGTCATCTTTATGTCAGGCTTTGAGAAGTGCATCAAACCTCCCAAATCTCAAGAAAATCGGATGGCTCACATTCTTTCTTCCTTGCCCTAACAGTGAATGACAAGACAGATAAGGAATGTTAGTTTATATGCCTTTAACAAAAAAACCCCACACCAAAACCCAAAACAAAAAAAGACTAGCTTTTGAGTTACAGAAAAGTGAAATCTGAAAGCAAATCCACATTATTCAGAACAAAATTCCTCTAGGAATTTGCACTGGGGGAACTTCCCAGTGGAGGAACTGAGAATTAACAAGAATAGGTGGAAACACATTTCTATATTAAAAACTTTTGAATCATTTATAGGTAAAAAAGCAAAGGTTTTTTTTTCCCAGGTGTGTGATTTATATTTGGACAAATTAAAGCTTGCTGACATCTACTGACAGCACCGTGTATAGAAGCCAGACATTTTACAGATCTCAGGATTTGACAAAGACATTTGACACAAATCCAGGTAAAATGCATTACTTTGGTACCTACCTCATTCACCCTTTTGAAACTGCTATATAAAGTCAGGTAGAACTGCACCAGATAAAACAGGAGCAGCAGCTTCTGGAGTCTTTTACTACTGACTCTTAATAGCCCAACTCTTCCTCATGAGAGAGTTGCACTTTTTCAACACATACTGTAATTCTTTTCTATCTTTATTCCATTTACATCTCACAGCAGCAATCTAAGAGAGTCATGTCTATGTCTTGCCTGAAACTTCTCTGGAAGACTATGGCTTCTAGAACACAGAGATCTAAAATAAAGAATATTTACATTAGTAGTGAATGTACGTGCAAGCAACTCTTCTCGCTGTCGCTCCTGCTGCTCCCGGATGTAACGACGATGTTGAAAGTTCCTCAGAGCTGTCTGCAGATGCTGAACGTCGTATTTCAGCTGGTCAACTCGGCTAGAAACGATCAACAACAGGAAGACATTCCCAGGGATAAAAATACCATTCTTTTCAGGTGTTTTTTATATGAATAATGGAGTGTTATAAATTAACAAATAATAAAGAATGATGGGTTCTAGTTATCTAGAAGATAAAGGACATTAAAATGTTAGGTCTATAATCCAGACTTAGCTCTTCCATGCCTCACTTTTCTACTAAACAGGCAATTATTTAACTGGAGGCTAATGACAGAATGTGAAGCAGAATTCTGTCTTGGACATCCTATCCCGTGACTAGTCACTTCAGGAGTTACATATATATTCCTCATTTAACACAGATTTAGAAAGATGGTAGGATTTGAACAGTTTATATTTTATGACCCTCATGCACACAAAAGATTTAGCTTTCAAGTTTAATTAATTAGCACCATGTTCTTAAGTTTGAGTTTTTATTAAAAATAATTTAAAAGTTTGCAGGCAGTACAGGAAACATCTCCATTAGGCTAAAACAAGTAACATCCAGAACTCCATTGCCTGCCTCTGATTAAATATGTGATGACTACAAAGAAAGCCTAGATGACTATTTCAGATACTGACCTCTAATATAGGTGACATGAAGTCTACCCCTAGTATCTACAAAGACATTTTGGGACTAAACATTAATAGTAGAGTCACAGAATAAATTAGAACTGAAGTCCTGAGGTCTTTGGTGCAACCTCCTGCTCAAACCAGTGTTAACTGTAGAAACCTCTTTATTTAAGTCACCAACAGCTAGGAAAGTGGCCCAGAGAAAATTACATGAACTGAATTAATTTTACTTCTTACCTCCACAAATGCCATTAAAAGCAAATGCTGTATAGAACAGAAAAATTTTAAGCCTCGAAGTGCCATGTTCTGCTCATCTCAGAACACAGCCCTCAGTCCAGCTCCATCACCAGTCTGTGGTTAAATGTAGGAAAGCGATTTTGCCTCTGTGCCTCAATTTTGCTACTATAGAGCACAGAGGTAAGTTAAGCAAAGTATAATGTTTTCACTCAAATCAAAAGCAAAGGGCTTCAATAAATGTAATGAAAATAATTACAAAGACCTCACTGCACTATCATAGCAAAGAAGGTGAACTTACAGTTTAGCATTCTGTCGTTTATTGGGAGGTTCTTTGCTGGACAGGATTTCCAGACGTTCCAAGTTGCTGAATATATTGTCTATTCTTGCCTGAATCTCATTTTCTACTACTGCAAAGAAATAAAAATGTGATTTAATTTGTATTAAAGAACTGCAATCTGAGTGAAGCATTCAAAGCCGTCTTTAATACCTGGCAGATGAATGGATGAAAAAAAAATCAGTTAAGGGAGAACTACACATACCATGAAAAGCCACTTCTTTAACTCAATAATTTGAGACTCTTGCCTTTCCCTCCTCCTCTGAGAAGGGAGCTAGAAAAGCCCCTCCAAAGTCAAGATACCTGAGCCTGCTTCCCTACCAGCTCCATGTATTAGAATTCACAGCTCCCACATTTCCCCCCTGCAGCCCCTTCCTGTTCCCTTGGCAGGATTTGCTTACACAAGCCAATAGCCAAGATGTTTCTCACAACAATGGCAATTTAAACCTCTGAAAACTGTTAACACAGAGTTAATATACATCATCCACATCTACAGCAGGGGAGATTGACAGAAGATGGGAAGGATTCAGAGTTGACAGGAACTGGCAGACTGGACAAGCAGCTCAGAAAGACATGGCCAAAACAGGGCTGAAGCCCTTTCAGGTGGGAGAACAAGGCCACAGAATAATTGCCTCATCATCTACACTGCAGTTGCTTCTGATAATCTGCACAGAAATAGCAGAGGGGCAATAGTACAATATGCAAACTCATACACTTGTACTTTAATGAGGTGGGAAACTGAAACAACTTGGGAAAGAGTCCTGTATTTTCAGTTACTGTAATCGTTGTAAATGTACCTTGTACATGGACCAGCAAAACACGATACAAGCCACAACCCCCCTTCCTCATTTGACAGCCACATTTTCTAACCATGTCACAGTTCAGCATTTCACAACTTAAAGAACTGCACAGAAGGCAAAAGACAGGAGCATCATTAATCACCTGACATTCCTGTGTTTACAGGAGGTGAGCTGCAGGCACACCCCCCCCAGAGCATGTCCACAGACGGTTATTAGAGCACAGAAGCACCATCACGTCTGTGCAGCCATGAGGACAGTCCTGAAGCCTCAGACTGCCACGGCCAGACCCGGTATAAATAATCACCAAATCCTACAGACACCATTTGTTCTTATCTTGCATTCAGACCAAAGTCTCAACTAACCACTCCACAGTCTGTCAGGACTTTTCAGAAAATCGCATTCAGCAGAACCCAGAAAAGCAAACAGCACGTACAACCCCTTTCTTTTTGCCCTTCGGCGTCCTAGAATCCCAGACTAACTTGCTCACATATATAGACACAAACCAATCAAATTCACCCAATTCATCTCTTCATCATTTAGCACAGCTAAAATTAACAGAAAAGCAACCAGGAGAGCAGACAGACAATTACATCGGCTTTTGCCAGTCCAAGCAATGGTATTGATTTGCTCATTCTGCACTTTTCTGAGCAAGAAGTGATTATTTGCCCAAAGTTGGGAAAGGAAAGCTGCAACAGAAAGTCTGATTTCCTGGCTCCTATTCCTGCTTTTCAGCCAAAAGATAATCCTTCTTCCCATAAATTCTGAAATACACACTAATATCTAGAGCATGTATCTGTAACTTTAGAGAGAGAAACAGTGTGTTCATTTACTGACTATGTAAAATGGTGCATAATCCCATCTCTTGAAATGGTCTCAAGTAGCAGAGGCAAGATGGCATATTATGTTAATTTTCCAAAAGTTCCAAAATCACATCCAGTGAGCAGCAGTCCAGGAAGTCTGGCATTGTAATAGGAGTAGTAGTACAGCTACCACAAGAAACAGAACCAGTAGACAAGTTGTAATTTTTTGACAGGAAAGTTATCACAGCCCTTTCTACAGTGAAGTCATACTTCACAAATATATTTAGAGTAACAGAAGTCAGTCAACATGTCCATAGATGTATCCAGTCAATGCAGTGTCCTTGCACTTCAGAAATTCCTGATGAGGCCCATTAGCAATTACTCATACAGGAATTAAGGCTTCAAACACAGGTCCAAATTACATTTGCCAACTCTGCACTGGGGTAAAAAGTCCTGCCCCAACCTATCATAGCATTTTATTGCAGTCATTTTATTAGCACAGGATTAGAGTCCAAATTTACTAAAGCAATTTCAGACCTAGTTGTTCTACATATTTCTCATAAGCAGACTGAATTAGAGGTTCTGAGTCTGATGCAAACAGGAACTATCAGAATCATTCTGCTTAAATTCCTGCACCCCAAATCACAGCATTTTCCCCAGAAACTGGACTCAGCATCTTTTGTGGAAGACTGCCAATTAGTGGATACTTAAGGAACAGCAAAGTAACAGGACAGATACACAACCACATTTCTGTGCTTCTAACAAACTAGCCCAGTGATGTTCTGAATTTGCAGTTCTGTCCACATCAATGTGTTCATTATAACTCCATGAAAGCATCAGTGTGGGGGGTTTTAACCTGTTTATGTTGAAAGCCTCTACAGCATACCCTGAGAATGAGTACCAAAATCTAACAGCACCAAAAAATAGATGGCATTCCCATATCAAGACACTGTAGAAGCATCCACAGTAAGCACCGTCAATTAAAGAATTACAATAGGAAGATGATTTGAAGTAAATTCTTGTTCTGTCTTTTCCATTCTGTCCTTCATATAAAACAGCACCTTACTGAAATCAAATAGTAAAATAATTTTAATGCATTCCAAATTGGTGATGTCTCACCAGTTGATACACAATGACTGAAGAACCAAATCTGTTCCAATAATCATTGTAAATACAATGATAAAGCATACAACGTTAAAGATGCAAGCTAAATCAAATCAGTACTGGAGTGGGACTTTTCTCACTAATTAATTACTTACAGTGTACTGACTCTTTGTCTGAAGTCTCCAGCCGCCCCATGTAAGACTGGACCTCATGGACTTGCCTATCAAAAGAGTAAATTAACAGGAGAAGTCAGTTAACAGTTATAAAATCGAATCATTTTTCAATACCTCAATTTTTGGCTTCTTTTACTTAAAAGTACTTTTTAGAGCAGAATAGGAATCAGATACATCGTATTCAGTGCAGACAGCTTATCACTGAACAGAGAAAACCAACCCAGTTCTTCACTTCACTTAATATGCATCTACAAAAGAACTTTCAGTTTAAAAACAAAAATCAAGGCAAAAGGGCTTTCTTTTCCTCAAAGATTTCCAATTCAGTTCTAGCTCTCTTTTCGTAAGCATAACCTGCGCTGGGGCTCTCCCAGTGCCACACACCTGGCATGCTGGAAGCCATTAAGATCCACCTACTCCAAGACAATCATGGAGACAAGAGTTCCAATTCACACTAGGAACTCCCAGGAGGCGAGTGCAGCAGAGGGAAGATCCACCTGGGAGATGAGTGGGTACAAGAGGGACCTTCATAACAGATCTGCAGTGAAACACTACCTGCGTACACCAGGAAAGTCAAGAGTGCTGATGAGACACCACGCCTTTATGTCACTACATAAACAGGTAGTACACATCAAACCCTAAACACAGGTTTTGTCCCTCCCTTCTCAAAAAGAAAACAGAAGCACTTGCAAAGGCTCAGAGAAGGACAATAAAGACTATAAAAAGTACAGAATAGCTTCTATACAAGAAACAGTTGTTCAGTCTGGACTGGGGGCAACACTGGGGAGATATGCTAGAGCATATACGGCACAGGAAAAGGTGAATAAAGAATGATTTTCACTGTCTCCTACAACACAGGAATTACAGAGGCATCAAATGAAATCAAAAGTTTAAAACTGATGGGAAAGAAAGGACTACTGTTCTGAACAAGCAGTGGCAAAGGAAAACAAAACTGAAACACCAAACACTGATGGTTGTTAAATTCCTGTTTCAAAAAGCCCCCAAGTCTCACATTTCTGGGAGACTGGGACAATATGCAACAGAAGTATGGCATAAGTTTGCTCATTTCCTACTCTGTTTCCTGGAGATGTGCAGTTAGACAATGCTGAACACATCCTGGGACAGGCAGACCTTTGGCCATACTTGGTGCAAACAATCCCATAGCAGCTGGGATTCAGACTTCAAGAAACACACTTAAAAAGTTACAAGAATATCATGATCTTTTTTAAAAGAAATTTTAAGAAATCATCATTTTGGTTGCATCTTTTTTTGGTTGCACTCTTTTTCTGGTGTACATACTGTTTGATAACTACAGCACAAATGTTTATGAAGCCAGACCTCTGAAACCAACTTACCTTACAGAGTAATAAAATATTTATTCTTCAGTTCTGAAATTTTTTTTATAACTATCAGGGCTACCTTTCAAATCACAACGCTGTGCTACTGAAGAGATCACTGAGGATGCCATAAGTACCACATGACTTAGAATTAACTAGAGAACTAATTCAATATCCAGTATCTTGCAACCCACACTTGTTCTGTAGTTTGTTTATTTACAGTCAGCTTATCCGGGATGCCCCAGACAGCTTGCAACTTGCATTGCTCTTAAAATGCCTGTTTAGAAATCCAGGTGTAGAAGCCAAAGCAGACCATGTACAACTGGATCAGAAAAAATACTTCACGTTCACCAGGACTCTTCCCATGCCAGAAAATACAGTTAAGTCTGGGGAAAAGGTAGGAAAAGAGTTTAAAAGTTCAGAGTATCCCCAGACTGACAACACACACTACAACAAAAACACAACTCAGTGACTACAGTCCCCAAAGAAGCTGTGGCAGGGTTCAAGGCCAGGTTGGACGGGGCTTTGGGCAACCTGGGCTAGTGGAAGGTGGCCCTGCCCGGGGCAGGGGGTGGGACTGGATGGGCTTTAAGGTCCCTTCCAACCCAAACCATCCTGTGATCATAGGATAAGGCAATATGGAAACGGGAACAAGACAAGATTATTCCCCTATCAGTAACAGTTACTACTACGGGTATGCATTTCTAGATCGACAGCAGGATTTCCCGCTCTTCCGTAGTCTGGCTCTGGCACCGGCCGGGCTGTCACCCCCGGCCCGCGTTTCTCACGCCCGTCGTCACGGGCCTCCACGTCCCCTCGCCGCCATCTCTGCCGGGCGCAGAGGGGCCGTCCCGGTGCGGTGCCCGAGCTGCACCCAGACCGTCCCCTGAGAGCAACTGTGCGCCCCCGGCCTCAGAAGGGTCCCGGGCCGCCTTGAATGGGGCTTCGAGTAATGATGTAGTGGGAGATGGCCCTGCCCACGGCACAGGGTTTGCTGTAGACGATCTTTAACGGCCCCTTCCAACCCCAACCAACGCCTGAGTCTCTCAGGTGTCCACACCCTGCAGCAGGTGCTTTAGATTCCCATCACGGTCAGTGAAAACCTTGTCAGCTAAGACAGGTGTCTTTGGTCATAGGAACTGCATCCGCTTCATAAAATCACAGACTGGTCATCACCATCCTCTCTGAATGTTGCCTACCTGTCCTGTTGTGTCTTTGATTTTCAGAGAACTACTTTAACTCCAAAGGCTTGTTCACAAATGGTCATGGTCATGGTCAGCTTAGGTCATCCACTGTGCAGATAGCTTTGTTTTCTTAATAATCCTGATTTTTCCACTTACCTTCAGACAGACTGAATTCCCTACAGCAGGTTATCACACATTCATTGTGCAATAGCAGGTTCCTCTGCCATTTTTCACAGGGCTGGCAGTTTAGGCCTTGCTCTGGGGTTGTATGAAAGACAGCTTTCAGTTAGCTCATCTGTACATAGTTCCTTAGTTGTTTTGACCAGATAATCAACTGCAGTTGAAGCCTCAACCTTTCTTTTATACACTGGACTACAAAACCTGATGTTCTTTATGGTCGTAGTCTGATGAGCCACCTGAACTTCTACAGCTTTATGAGAGAATCAAGGAGAAGGTGGATTATCAGAAAAACCCAATAGATACAGGCCGGTTAGTCAGGACACCAGAAATACAGATACAAAGACTGATTGACTAAAAAGCTAAAATTAGGACTATAACTCATAGTTGACAGTGTAATTTAATGGAAAATAGTTCTTGTCAAGAAACATAACTTTATTCTAATTAGAGCTTGGTTGGAAAAAAATGGGAAAGACATGTGTTCTGTAAAGCATTCAACTTAATACCACAAGATCAGTCGTTTAAAAATTAGTAAGTGTAGTCTCTGCCCTCATGGACCAGGCAAGTACTCAGCTCTTCCCTTCTCCACTGTTTCTTCCCTCTCTTAAATGTTGTCTTTTTCTCTTGTTCCTCAGGTTTTGAATTCTCCCTGATGTTGGACTGATGCTACCTTTCTCTGGGTTCATGCTACCTGTCCCACTTGTGGTATGGAGAGAAACCTGCTGCATCACAAACAATAATGTGGTAAACCAGGTCCATCTAAATAAAATGTTCTGATACAGTTAAATACAACTTTTCAAATCATAAACTGCCTTCAGCAACCACAGCCATATTCCACGCTTTTCTTCACTTAGGCAAAGCCTAAATAACTTTACAGCAAAAGTTCAAGATACTGAAGGAAAACAAACATTGGAGAGAAGATGAGAAATTATGTTAAGAGGTGGGGAAGCTTAAGACGGACACCTTCTTATGTGACACTGGGCAAAATGTGAAACCTTGAGCCTGGAACAGTCTCCAAAGTGGTGGGTTTTTTCTGATGTTGCTCATTTACAGTTAAGGGTGTGCACCTGAAGAATACATTCTAGTCACATGAGAACAAGTCACTGAGCATCACACAGATATAAATGAGTGAAATAACTACACATCTTTAATCGATGGGAGATTCTTCTTCCTGTGGATCCATTCTTTGCATCTCAGACAGTGCATGAAACTTCCTTTGTCTGCCCTGCCCTGTCATTCAGTGAGCCCAGTCTCTGGAAAAAGACCATCTATCCCCTGGATGTCTAATAGTCCCTCAATCCACAGAAATCACATCGATCTAAGAATAAACGGCATGTCAATAAAAAACATTAACTGCAGCGATAACAAATATGTTCAGTCCTTGTTCTTTGCTCTCCCTTATCTGAGTCATTATACCCTGTTTTCAAACACTTTCAGGAAATAGAGAGGTTGAATGAAAATAGATGCCGGTATTTCCCTCCTGGCCAGAGCTTTTAGAAGTATCACAAGAGTTTTGATGAAGTGGCAACCACTGAAATACAAGAACGAATTTCTGTTCTTTTGTGAAGAAATTGATTTTTGCCAGAAACAACATGCTGCAACCAAGCGTCTGTTCTTGTTAGACTTCAAGTCCTTCCAGGAGGAGTTCTTCAGCAAATTGGCTCCTTTAGACACAACAGCCAGGAGCATGGAGAGTAAAAAAAAAAGGGTTTTGTTCAAGGAAAGCCTCTGTATTGTAAACAGGATAAAAGGGGATGGAGAGAGTCACTTATCACTGTCTAATGTGTCCCCAGGTCATTCCTGTGTAGCACCTACTGGAGAAAAAGGATTTCATATTCACTGCTCTCTTAGAAACCCCAAGCCAAGTGTGGGGATTTTCTCTATCAGACAATCTACAGACATCATATGCATTCAACAGCAGCATTCAAACCCCCATGGGTGCATTCTCCATTGCTGTCCTCTGGCTTGTAGCTTAAAGCCTTGCAGCACCAAAAGAAAAGCTGGATCCTTGTCGGAACTCCTTTGCTCTGCCAGCATCAGCCCATTTTCCCCTCACATCTACAGGACTTCGTTCTCTCTCCAAAAAACCAGACCCTGATGCTCTATTTAGATCAGACCCTAATAATGTGTGTCTCCCTGTTTCTCTAAGCATAATCCCAACAATCATAGAAACTCTCTCCTCCCCCCCCCTCCCTCCCCCTCTTTTTTGGGCACACAAAGTATTCCCCAACTCCTTGCATGCTTTCTTGATAATAATAACTGTGGCTTTAAAAACAAAGGCGTGCCGAACCTGAGGGCATGCCGCAGAGGCAAGACATTTAGATGAATGCTTGATGGAGACTCCTCACTTA